GGACCCTTACTTTTTAATATATTTATAAACAATTTAGGGTCTGGGATTATAAATACCATTTCAGTCTTTGCAGACGACACCAAGCTGTGCAGTGGAATAACATCCTTGCAGGATGTCTCCAACTTACAAGCCGACCTCAATGCACTGTTTTTAATTGGGCAACTATGTGGCAGATGAGGTTTAATGTTGATAAATGTAAGATTATGCACTTGGGGGCTAAGAATATGCATGCATCGGGGGGGTACAACTGGGGGAATCAATGGTGGAGAAGGATCTGGGAGTTCTGGTAGATCACAAGTTTAATAATGGCATGCAATGCCAAGCTGCGGTTTCTAAAAAGAGCAAAATCCTGTCTTGTATGAAAAGAGGTATAGACTCCAGAGAGAGAGATATCATATTACCCCTGTACAAATCATCAGTAAGACCTCATCTGGAATATGCAGTTCAGTTTTGGGCACCAATTCACAAAAAGAACATTGGGGAACTGGAGAAAGTACAGAGAAGGGCAACCAAACTGATAAGAGGCATGGAGGAGCTCAGCTATGGGGAAAGATTAGAGGAACTGAATTTATTCTCTCTTGAGAAGAGGAGATTAAGGGGGGATATGATCAACATGTATAAATACATCAGTGGTTCATGTAGTGAACTCGGTGTAGAGTTATTCACCCTGAGGTCATCACAGAGGACAAGGGGCCACTCTTTTACGTTGGGAGGAAAATAAATTTAATCTCCAAACATGGAAAGGTTTCTTCACAGTAAGAGCTGTGAGGATGTGGAGTAGACTCCCTTGATTCTTTCTTGGATACACAGAACATAACTGGTTACTATTTATAGGTAAAGTTGATCCAGGGAATATCTGATTGCATCTCAGGGGATCAGGAAGGCATTTTTTCCCCTGCAGGAGTAAATTGGATCATGCTTTGCTGGGTTTTTTTTTACCTTCCTCTGGATCAACTGTGGGTGTAGGATTATAATTTTTTCTATTTTTTTTTTTAATGGTTGAACTGGATGGACTTTTGTCTTTTTTCAGCCAGACTAACTATGTAACTATGTATAACGCTTACTTTATATTTGTCACATGTTTTCATTCGCAGGAGTAGAACTTTAAAAAAAAAATCTGCTTTGAAATTGCTGTTATAATTCCAGCACTGAAAATATCTGCTTAGTTATCTTTGTTTATTAGTGGGGCTAAAGAGTTGTATTTGCCATAATTACCCTGCCTGTACTGTGCTGACAGATTTCATTTTCATTTGTAAACTAGATTTAAACACTGTTTGTGTTAACAAAGGCTTAAATATTTAGAAGTGTGCCTTAGAAACCAAGTCTGTCCTGCTTTTCTTTTGAGACAGACTCGCTCAACTTTAGAAATGCTTGCAGAGAGCCATGACATTTAAAGGCTCACCATTTTTTTGCGGGTGCAATCTCAAGCTCCTGCAGGCTGCCACTTTATCTGTCTGCTCGTAGGCAGTTACACAATGACAGGAGAATCAATGAATTACTAGAGCACTCAACAGCGCCTTGGTAGTTAATTGAGAACTACATGCCATCAGCCATAAAGGGTGTCAGTACTTGTAGTTCATTCATTCACAAACTCTGTGAATGAATGACATGGCTGGGTGGGCAGAGCCCCACAAGACAGTTTATTTTTTTTAAATTGTGACAGCAGGAGAAGAACTCCGGCCCACTGTCAGAGAGAGGGGAGGATCAGGAAGAGGTTGCAAGAGTGGGAACATGTGTAGCGCTACCCAATTAGGAGTTGCTGATGAATTTGGGCCCCCCTATAGTCCTGCACAGCCAGTCAGTTAGCATTTTCCACACAAGCTATCATCTATAGACAGAAATCAGTCCTTGAGCATTTGTTTTGTTATCTTATTGAGGGGTGTCAGGGCTCCCGGGTATGACCAGAGGTGTGTGACTGACACAGGGAAACGCAGACTTCAGATATGTTATAAACAATGTAATTTATTAACACTAACCATACAAACATAAACGCAGTGCAATACTAAAACATAACACAGTGCAAACAAACCAACCACCCACAGATAACAGTACATACAATGCAAGCGTCGTCAGGCAGGCCGGGTCAATATCAGTCGGGCAGGTAGGTACAGGGGGAGCAAGCGGAGAATGGTCGGGGTCACAGGCCAGGTTCAGCAGGTAGCGGGCAGCGTGGTACAGAGGGTCAGGCAGAGGAGAATGGTCAGACAAGCCAGGGATCAGAGCAGGGTCAGCAGAGAATCAGACAGGAACAGAGAGCAGGAACAGGATACAGGGCCCAAGAGAAAACACAACACCAAGGCAGAGTCTGCAGGTCTGAATGTCCCTTAAATACACCAGTATAATTAGTTCCAGGTGTTTGACTGGCTGCAAGGTTGAGTCTCTGATTGCTGGGAGCACCCGCTGGCCAGCCCTGGTACTGCAGCTCATAAGGCAGCTGAGTCCCACTATTGCTGGCCAGTCCATTCCTGACAGTACCCCCCCCCCTCAAGGAGCGGCCTCAGGACGCTCCAAACAGTCCTAGCTGGGCAAAATGTTCCACCGCCCGGGTCTGGTAACTGGCGGGATATCAAAAACTGGCACACCGGGCAGGACTCCGGGCAGCGGCACACCGGGCAGAGGCACATCGGGCAGGACTCCGGGCAGAGGCACATCGGGCTGGACTCCGGGCAGAGGCACATCGGGCTGGACTCCGGGCAGAGGCACATCGGGCTGGACTCCGGGCAGAGGCACATCGGGCAGGACTCCGGGCAGAGGCACATCGGGCAGGACTCCGGGCAGAGGCACATCGGGCAGGACTCCGGGCAGAGGCACATCGGGCAGGACTCCGGGCAGAGGCACATCGGGCAGGACTCCGGGCAGAGGCACATCGGGCTGGACTCCGGGCAGAGGCACATCGGGCTGGACTCCGGGCAGAGGCACATCGGGCTGGACTCCGGGCAGAGGCACATCGGATTACCATTCGAAGCGAAGCAGCAGGCAGCGGGCCACCAGGCGGAGCAGCAGGCACCGGGCCCCCAGGCGGGGCAGCAGGCACCGGGCCCCGGGCAGAGCAGCAGGCACCGGGCCCCCGGGCAGAGCAGCAGCCACCGGGCCCCCCGGGCAGAGCAGCAGGCACCGGGCCCCCGGGCGGGGCAACACCGGCATCGGGGCCCCCCGGCGGGGCGTCCGGCATCGGGTCCCCAGACGGGGCGACCGGCATCGGGCCCCCAGGCGGAGCGGCGGGCGCCGGGCCCCCAGGCGGGGGGGCGACAGGCATCGGGCCCCCAGGCGGGGCGACAGGCATCGGGCCCCGGGCAGAGCAGCAGCCCCCGGGCCCCCGGGCAGAGCAGCAGGCACCGGGCCCCCGGGCAGAGCTGCAGGCACCGGGCCCCCTGGCGGGGCAACAGGCATCGGGCCCCCGGGCGGGGCGACAGGCATCGGGCCCCCGGGCGGGGCGACAGGCATCGGGCCCCCGGGCAGAGCAGCAGGCACCGGGCCCCCGGGCAGAGCAGCAGGCACCGGGCCCCCGGGCGGAGCAACAGGCACCGGGCCCCCGGGCGGGAGGCGCACCGGCATCCGGGCCCCCGGGCGGGGCAACCGGCATCGGGCCCCCCAGACGGGGCGACCGGCATCGGGCCCCCGGGCGGGGCGACCGGCATCGGGTCCCCAGACGGGGCGACCGGCATCGGGCCCCCAGGCGGGCGGACCGGGCATCGGGCCCCCAGGCGGGGCGACAGGCATCGGGCCCCCAGGCGGGGCGGCGGGGCCGGCCCCCAGGCGGGGCGACAGGCATCGGGCCCCCAGGCGGAGCGGCAGGCGCCGGCCCCCAGGCGGGGCGACAGTCTCGGGCCCTCAGGCGGAGCGGCGGGTGCCGGACCCCCAGGCGGAGCGACGACAGGTCTCGGGCCCTCAGGCGGAGCGGCGGGCGCCGGACCCCCAGGTGGAGGGACAGGTCTCGGGCCCTCAGGCGGAGCGGCGGGCGCCGGACCCCCAGGTGGAGCGACAGGTCTCGGGCCCTCAGGCGGAGCGGCGGGCGCCGGACCCCCAGATGGAGCGACAGGTCTCGGGCCCCCAGGCGGGGCGGCGGGGCGCCGGGACCCCCAGGTGGAGCGACAGGTCTCGGGCCCCCAGGCGGAGCGACAGGTCTCGGGCCCTCAGGCGGAGCGGCGGGCGCCAGGACCCCCAGGCGGAGCGACAGGTCTCGGGCCCTCAGGCGGAGCGGCGGGCGCCGGACCCCCAGGTGGTGGAGCGACAGGTCTCGGGCCCTCACGCGGAGCGACAGGTCTCAGGCCCCCAGGCGGGGCGGCGGGCGCCGGACCTCCAGGCGGAGCGGCGGGCGCCGGACCCCCAGGCGAAGCGTCAGGTCTCGGGCCCCAGGCGAAGCGGCGGGCACCGAGTCACCGGGCACGAAAGTGGGCTCCGAGTCAACTGGCATGACCGTTGGCACTGGGTCAGACATTGGATCGTCTGGCTGGACAGCGGGCATCGGGTCACCAGGCATCAGGTCATTTGGCTCGACAGCGGGGCACCGTGTCATCTGGCAAGGCAGTGGGCTCCGAGTCAACTGGTATGACCGCGGGCACTGGGTCAGACATTGGATTGTCTGACTGGACAGCGGGCATCGGGTCACCAGGCATCAAGTCATTTGGCTCGACAGCGAGCACCGCGTCATCTGGCAAGGCAGTGGGCTCCGAGTCAACTGGCATGACCGCGGGCACTGGGGGCAGACATTGAATTGTCTGGCTGGACAGCGGGCATCGGGTCATCAGGCATCAGGTCATTTGGCTCGACAGCGGGCACTGCGTCATCTGGCAAGGCAGTGGGCTCCGAGTCAACAGGCACGACAGTGGGCACCGGGGTCATCAGGTACCGGATTGTCTGGCTCGACAGCGGGCATCGGGTCACCAGGTATGACAGCGGGCACTGGGTCACCAAGCATCAGGTCATTTTGGACTTGCCAGCGGCCACCGCGTCATCTGGCAAGGCAGTGGGCACCGGGGTCACCAGGCATTGGATCGTCTGGCTCGACAGCGGGCATCGGGTCACCAGGTATGACAGTGGGCCCTGGGTCACCAGGCATCAGGTCATTTGGCTCGCCAGCGGGGCACCGCGTCATCTGGCAAGGCAGTGGGCACCGAGTCACCAGGTACGACAGCGGGCTCCGAGTCAATTGGCACGACAGCGGGCACCGGATCAGGTACCGGATCATCTGGATCAACAGCGGGCATCGAGTCAACTGGCCTAATAGGATCGTCAGGCTGGATCAGTTCATCATGCTGGGTTAGAGGCATCAGGCTGAATGCCAGCGTCCGGCTGAGTAGAGGCTTCAGGCCGAGTAGAGGCTTCAGGCCGAGTAGAGGCTTCAGCCGAATAGAGGCATCAGGCCGAGTAGAGGCATCAGGCCGAGTAGAGGCATCAGGCTGCGTACAGGCATCAGGCTGCGTACAGGCATCAGGCTGCGTACAGCATCAGGCTGAGTACAGGCATCAGGCTGAGTACAGGCATCAGGCTGAGTACAGGCATCAGGCTGAGTAGAGGCTTTCAGGCTGAGTAGAGGCTTCAGGCTGAGTAGAGGCATCAGGCCGAGTAGAGGCATCAGGCCGAGTAGAGGCTTCAGCCGAGTAGAGGCTTCAGGCCGAGTAGAGGCATCAGGCCGAGTAGAGGCTTCAGGCTGAGTCAGGCTGAGTAAGGCTTCAGGCTGAGTCTCGGAAATACTGGCAGGCTCACGGTTTGGATACTGGCAGGATGGTATTGGTTGGAAAGAATTTTCGCTTTTTTCTGGTTTTAACTACTGGAGCACTGCAAGTAAACGCAGGTCTGCAAACGAATGGAGCAGCTGGAGACAGAGAAGAGCTGGAGGATGGAACAGGAGAGGGAGCAGTTTGCTACAGAGGGCTTTTTTACAGGGTTAAAGGCAGGATAGGTGCAGCGAGTGGGAACAGGGTACTGACATGCGGTAGATAGCAGGGCAGGAGGAGCTGTTGGGAATGCAGGAATAGAGTTTTGAGGAAATAGATTAGAAGCAGGACTGGGTTTTTGTAAGCTTTTGGGGGGGGGGGACTGAGGCTGGGTGCAACAAGTCTGGTTCCATGTCTGCAGTATGGGTTGAACAAAGCTGAGCTTACACAAAGCCTGTCTGACCAAAGACTGCACTGCGTTTTATACAATCTCTTAGTGTCTGTGGTGAACATGTGGAATAACGCTCCAAGAAGTAATCCACATCATCCTCTAATAACCACACCAGGGACTCTACCTGGTCTGCACTAAATGGTGGCAAAAATTCATCCCTGCATTCGGGGGTACCCGATGAAACCAACTCATCAATGGCTGCACCTCAGAGAACTCTGTGCCCTGATCTACTAGAACATGAGCGAGCCGTATACATTCTAGCAGTTCATCCCGGGTATACTCCTTCAGAGTTTGATAAGCATACTCCCTGTCATCAAACACTAGCAGATATAAATACACAACCTCATCCAGATCCATCCTTCCCATCAACAAGCCAAGATGGCTTCCCTGTGCAGCCACTTCTGGTCAGGATTGGCCTTGGTGTAATGTCAGGGCTCCCCGGGTATGACCAGAGGTGTGTGACTGACGCAGGGAAACGCAGACTTCAGATATGTTATAAACAATGTAATTTATTAACACTAACCATACAAACATAAACGCAGTGCAATACTAAAACATAACACAGTGCAAACAAACCAACCAACCAACCACAGATAACAGTACATACAAGCAAGCGTCGTCAGGCAGGCCGGGTCAATATCAGTCGGGCAGGTAGGTACAGGGGGAGCAAGCGGAGAATGGTCGGGGTCACAGGCCAGGTTCAGCAGGTAGCGGGCAGCGTGGTACAGAGGGTCAGGCAGAGGAGAATGGTCAGACAAGCAGGGATCAGAGCAGGGTCAGCAGAGAATCAGACAGGAACAGAGAGCAGGATACAGAGCCCAAGAGAAACACAACACCAAGGCAGAGTCTGCAGGTCTGAATGTCCCTTAAAATACACCAGTATAATTAGTTCCAGGTGTTTTGACTGGCTGCAAGGTTGAGTCTCTGATTGCTGGGAGCAACCCGCTGGCCAGCCCTGGTACTGCAGCTCATAAGGCAGCTGAGTCCCACTATTGCTGGCCAGTCCATTCCTGACAAGGGGATTAGAACTTTGATCAGATAAGGGGTGTAAAAGGATGCCCAAGTGAACCAAAATCTGAGGACAACTTTCCGAACTATTCAACGCTTCTCTTTTCTGACACAGACTCTGCTGGAGTGCTAGCCAACAGCTCCAGTTGTACTACCCCAGAACTCCCCTGTCGATGATCTCTCCTCTTTACTGAAGCCAACACTGGGACCTGATCATGTGACCAGACCGGAGTGCCCTCATCATAGGTAAGTATACACATCTTTCTTTTACAGGTAAATGGTGAGGAGTGTAAAATGGAGTAGTATATACCAGCCCTTTTATATACAGTTTTGTGATAATTTGTTATTATAACGGGAAAGTTTTTACACTATTTTTGTGCAACATTACAAATTCAATAAAAAGCCAAAATATGTTTCTATTAAAGTTTTAAGATTTTTTTGGGGATATTTAAGAAAGGTCTGAAAGGTGTATTGCTTCTAATTTGTAGAAGTATACATTTTGCATAGCAATTCTTTAATGAGGATTACACCCAGTTTAAAATTCTGTCCAGCAAAGCATTTTTGCCTAGAGATAAAAGAACTGAGTAGCTCTGATAACAGACATTAAGCAGTTGTATTGACATATGCATAATAAACACAATGATTTATGAGTGTAAACAACTGCCAATCAATGCAGATTTCCACTTGTTTAATTCATCATGACTTTGGAAAAGTTAAATATTTGGCTGAAGAAAAAAAACCTGAAACATATTTGTGTTTTAACATACGCAGTAAATAAAGGCTCGGGATGCAAACTGTACACTGATATATTTAGTAAGGTCTTGGTATTATTTAGTAATATAATATATTATATATATATTATATATATATATATATATATATATATATATTTATCCACAAAAAAAATCCTAAAAAAGAAAATAATGTAATGTAAAAAATTAAAAATAATAAAATAATTCATAAAAAAAAAAGTAAAAGAAATATATATATTAATTTTCTTTCATGACTGTAAAGAAAAAATGGGTTCTCTGATCACCGCCATGCATAAAAATATGGATGATATATCAGTATGATAAAAAAAATTTGTGAAAATTTTTTAAATAAAAAATAAATTGTTGACAAAAAAAATACAACTTCAAAAAACTCGGCCATGCCTCTTATGAAAAATAATGTCATGTACTTCAGGATTAAAAATATTCAGATAAATCATAGTTTGGTGAACGCTTATAACCTTCCTACAAACTAAAAAATAATCCCTAATTTGGGTTATTTTCACAAAAGGAATGTAGCAGACTTACAATAAAAAAATTAAATATTTGCAAACTTTAATAACAGAAACAAAGAAAAACGTATTCAACATTTTCGGTATTTTTTTTTCATACTGTCACCAGTCAGTGTCTCTGATCACCGCCATTGCTAGTTATATGATGACGCTGTACTGCACTGGTGACAGTATGAAAAAAAAATTTGTGAAAATTATTTTTAAATTTTTCATTTTCCGAAAAATTATGACAAAAAAAATAAAACTTCAAAAAACTCGCCATGCCTCTTATGAAGTACGTCGGACTGTCTACTCTGCAAAAAGGGGTCATTTGGAGGATATCTGTACTGTTCTGACATTTTTGGACCTAAAGAAATTAGATTGGCTGTCAGTACTTCAGGATTGATCAATATTCAGATATATCTCATAGTTTGTGAACGCTATAACCTTCCTACAAACTAAAAAATACATCCTAATTTGGGTTATTTTCACCAAAGACATGTAGCAGACTACATTTTGGCCTAAATTTATGAAGTTACAATTATTTATTTGCAAACTTTTATAACAGAAACAAAGAAAAACGTGTTTTTTTTTCAACATTTTCGGTATTTTTTTGTTAATTTAGCAAAAAAATAAAAACCCCAGTGGGATTAAATACCACCAAAAGAAAGCTCTAGTGAGAAGAAAATGATAACATTTTAGTTTGGGTACAATGTTGTATGACTGCGCAATTGTCATTTCAAAGTGTGAGAGCGCTGAAACCTGAAAATTGGCGCTGGGCAGGAAGGGGGTAAAAGTGCCCTGTATGGAAGAGGTTAACCTTACTTTCATGTAATTTGCTAAACAAATGTTCTATAAAATTCAGTTTTGTCAAAAATTTTGGAAATTGTTCTTGTGTTCATTGCGTTATTGATTAAAACCTTATTTTTTTAAAGGGGTGTACTTACTTATGCTGAGCACTGTATGTATGTGTGTGTGTGTATATATATAATATATATATATATATATATATATATATACAGTATCTCACAGAAGTGAGTACGCACCTCACATTTTTGTAAATATTTATATTATATCTTTTCATGTGACAACACTGAAGAAATGACACTTTCCAATGTAAAGTAGTGAGTGTACAGCTTGTATAACAGTGTAAATTTACTGTCCCCTCAAAATAACTCAACACACAGCCATTCATGTCTAAACCGCTGGCAACAAAAGTGAGTACACCCTTAAGTGAAAATGTCGAAATTGGGTCCAAAGTGTGCATATTTTGTGTGGCCACCATTATTTTCCAGCACTGCCTTAACCCTCTTGGGCATGGAGTTCACCAGAGCTTCACAGATTGCCACTGGAGTCCTCTTCCACTCCTCCATGACAACATCACGGAGCTGGTGGATGTTAGAGACCTTGCGGTCCTCCACCTTCCATTTGAGGATGCCCCACAGATGCTCAATAGGGTTTAGGTCTAGAGACATGCTTGGTCAGTCCATCACCTTTACCCTCAGCTTCTTAAGCAAGGCAGTATTCATCTTGGAGTGTATTTGGGGGTAGTTATCATGTTGGAATACTGCCCTGCGGCCTAGCCTCCGAAGGGAGGGGATCATGCTCTGCTTCAGTATGTCACAGTACATGTTGACATCCATGGTTCCCTCAATGAACTGTAGCTCCCCAGTGCCCGCAGCACTCATGCAGCCCCAGACCATGACACTCCCACCACCATGCTTGACTGCAGGCAAGACACACTTGTCTTTGGACTCCTCACCTGGTTGCTGCCACACACGCTTGACACCATCTGAACCATATAAGTTTATCTTGGTTTCATCAGACCACAGGACATGGTTCCAGTAATCCATGTTCTTAGTCTGCTTGTCTTCAGGAAACTGTTTGCAGGCTTTCTTGTGCATCATCTTTAGAAGAGGCTTCCTTTTGGGACAACAGCCATGCAGACCAATTTGATGCATATGGTCTGAGCACTGGCAGGCTGACCCCCCCACCCCTTCAACCTCTGCAGCAATGCTGGCAGCACTCTTGTGTC